TTAAGATCAATTAAAGGATTAACAGTTTGCCGGCATAGTAGGAACACACCCTTTCTTTAGGCCTGGAATGTTATATAAACTATTAATTAGCCATTAATTAACTTATCCAGACCATAATCAACTCTCGATGACATCGGATACTCGAGATTTTAATTAGATTAAAATGGTTCGCCATTTAAAAATGTAATTTAAAAATGGGAAAGCGAGGTTAAGTCTCGATTATGCCTTACCCTGGATATGCACTATGCAGACATCTTGTCAAAACTACAAACAATAAAACATGACTCCGAATGAAGTAATTTGAATGAAAGTTTCAATGTTTTTAATTTTACATTATATATTTTTGAGCTATTATAGCAAGAATGACTACTTGGCTCAGAAGGAAGTGATTTGAATGAAATTTTCAATATTTTCATTTTACATTATCTATTTTTGAGCTATTAAAGCAAGAATGGTCAGCTCTTTATCTACATCTTACATAATGTATCTTTAATTAAAGGACAGTTTACGAATAAGGACGGCATTGAAACTATCACGACTATTCCATTTTCCCAAATGAACAAGTATTAAATGATTCCAACGGGAACTTTGTCTTTAATCAGGTTTACAGCTTCAAATGATAGTTGGCAATTACATCTTGTTTACATTGCAATAGGATATTTCTTTTGAACCAAAACAAACAAGTCGAAGAAATATATAAGAACCGGAGTCTATACAGTATTCGCAAGAATATAACAAAAAATACATATGCCCACTGACAAGTACGTTACAGAATGATATTTGATCAGAGAACATTCGCAGTTAATGTGTATACTAGTGAGATGACATGTTGTTCATCAGTTCCGGTGAAATAAAAACAAAGGCAATAAATTTCAAATTATTCATCAAGTATATCAAATAATTTTGCACATTCACTGTCATGTGTATTTAATAAATTACTAAAAGCCAATCAAAGAAGATAAATTTGTATCATTTACAATAAATCACTTTTATTCATGATAAATCATATGTAAATGTATATTCATGTATCGTCGTGTAAAGATTATAATGCAGCATAGATTTTGTTACTTGTAAATGTTACTATTATACGGCTCAATATAATGAAATTGTGCAATATAAGGATAATATGCACATAACTGTATTTAAACATGCATTATATATATATAAGATTAGGATAAAGGACTGGCAGTTCTCGCTTTAATAGTTTAAAAAATAGATAATGAAAAGGGAATATGCTGAAAATGTCAGTAAAATTACTTCAGTTATCGTCCATTATTAAACAGTGTAGCCACGATTGCTTCCGTTGTTACGATAATAAGTCTTTGTTTATCCACTTTTAAATTAAATTATTTACCGCAAATCGTATTTAAATCTGTTTAAAAATCTGCAGCTCCGATGTTGTCGAGAATTTATTATACTATTAGTAAGTTGATAAATGTCCAATTAAATATAAAACATTAAATACCCAAAGAAGGAAGGGGAGTTGGATGGCCGAATGGCTAGCGCATGTGCGTTGTATCATAAGGTCTGTCATTGAGTCACCGTGTGTGGTTTCGATTCCCCGGTTGTACGTGACAAGGAGTACGGTGGATTGTCCAACCTCGTGGGTTTTCTCCGGGTCCTCCGGTTTCCTCCCACTGCAATAGACCCCTACGCGCAAGCGAATTATTGAAATATAACTGAACCATATCTTAGTCCCGAAATGACCTAGTTTTATGTCGAGTAGACGTTAAACCCAACTCCCCCCTCTCTTTACGACCCAAGAACGTCCTGCAGTGGGCAGATTTTGCTCTTGAATAACGCTCCTTTAACTATGCATGCATGTAAGATAAATTATACAAATAAAGCACCTTGATGCGAAAATAGAAACTCAAGAGCAACAACTTGAAGGCCATAAAAAGTGACAATTTCAAAATAGATATTCATTTAAAAAAGGAATCCGGATGTTTTTTTCAATAAATGAAAATAGTTAAAAGAGATAAATATGTTTCAAAAATATTTCAATGTAGCAAACAGATAAAACGATCATGCGTGAACAAATCGTGGCCGCCCGAATCTTGGTAAATAAAAATTCCAAGAATAGATTTTAAGATTATGATAAGCAATTTTTTTCATTGCCGGATGTTCCGATATTATTAATGCCTCATTCATCTTAGAATTAGTAAACAGGGTCTTATCCAAAGTTGGTGACCCATAAATTGCACGTAAATATGAATAATACTTATCTACAAATTATTTGTAGCTGCAAGGACGCTAAACAGGATTACGTCATGCGCATTGACTGTGAACAAAAGATTGCATACTCGTCACTAGTGTAAAACGATACAAAAACAAAAAAAACGAGATAATCCCCTTTAACGTGTGTTGTCGTTTTGCCGGATTTATGTCTCAATATGCAATTGTAAAGAAAACAGTATTGGTAATTTTAATGTTCGTGACAAAGGTTTTGGGTGTAGTGAATATCAGTTGTATATTTCTCAGAAACTGCGCCTAAATTAAAAACTGAAAACACTGGTATATCGGGTGACCCATCCCAAAAAAAAAACGAGTACATTATTTACAGTGGAAAACTTTAAGTATTTTACTTCTACTGAAATGAAATGGAATGAAATGGGGTTTAACGTCCTACTGTTCTGCTCCAAACTAGGATAATGAAGACGGACATCTGCCAAACAGTGTGCTATGAGGGAAATTTTGCCCGGACAGCGGCACTACGGCCTACTCTTATATCGAATTTAAACTGTCAAGGGATCTTTTACGTGCACGTCAATGTGTACAACGGATCTCCGTTTTTCTTCCCATCCGAACGACGAGACAGCTGTCCTTGTCAGGCCCTCCGGCCTGCATCACTGACAACTGAGAACCACGCCGGAAATCTGGATGATCTTTCTCGGCCAATGCAGGGATCGAACACCCACTTAGCTACCGTGACCCCCACTTTACTTATACGGACCTGCTATTTGGAGGAGAGAGAGAGATGAGGTTTAACGTCCACTCGGGACTAACGTATGGTTCTTTTTTATTTCAGCAATTCGCTTGCGCTTAGGGGTCTTTAGCAGTGGGAGTAAACAGGAGGACCCGGAGAAAACCCATGAGGTTGGAAAGACGACCCTACTCCTTGTCACGTACAACCGGGGAATCGAAACCACGTCAGATCAGTCAATGACAGACCTTATGATACAATGCGCAGGTGCTAACCATTCGGCCCGTCTGAATGGCACATAACTTAGTAACTTTACCATTGTGCTTACGGTTCAAGCACTTCAAACGAAGGAGGTATATTATCTGTGTTAGACTTCAACAAAGATCTGACAAAATCAGAACTGCTCCAAAATACTCCCTGTGACTTGAACCAATTTACTAATCTACTTGTACAACTCGACGGATATAATACCCCAAAAGTCTCTAAGTGTGTTAGAATTACGCCTAAATCGCCACTGTAATCTGAGACCATCTACCTAAATAAACATGTGGGAAGGAAAGAGGGGAACATGTGCGGGAATCCCATTTAGAGATCTATTGACAAATGTATGTTAATAAACGCTTTAAGACTTCAAAGACCGAATACCAGATCACATCTTACACTGACAAGGTTTCAGAGACCGAATACATTAACGACCAGATCACATTTAACACTGGCAAGTCTTCAAAGACCGAATACCAGATCACATCTAACACTAGCAAGGCCTTATAAAGACCGAATACATTAAAGACCAGATCACATTTAACATTGGCAATTCTGAAGCTCTTTATTCTTTTATGTTCTCTTTAATGGACAACCGTGGTGTGGTAAAGTTCCCTATCGTTAATAATGATACTGAGTCCCTCGTAATAAATTCAGTACCCTTTTCCATAATAAGATCGCAACAATCCAGCAGTCGATTAATCAACACGACGATTCTAATAGTGCCTTTAACAACCCTGATTATTCCGGTACTTTAATGGGATCTTTCACTGGCTGTGGCATTCAGATAAATCAGATCAACTCAGATAAATCAGAATGTGTTTCCCTAGAGTGTGGTGTTCCTCAAGGTTCTGTTTATGACCTGTTTTATTTACCATGAATACAAAGCAACTTAGAGGTGTTCTAAATCATAAATTATGTATGGTGCCCGTCTTCATTAAGCCAGTATAAGAGTAGAACATTAGGACGTTAAACTCGATTTCATTTCATAATTCTGTATGCTGAAGATAATGAACTGTTTGATTCGTCTATTTCTGATCAGATCAAAGTATCGGGCAATACAAATTAAAACCTGGATGGATTAAGATCGCATGGTACTAAATGTACTTTTCGGCTCCAAGACTCGATTATCGAACCCCTCGTACTGTAAATTTCAATGGACAATGCTACTGTCATCTGATTCGAAATTACAATAAAGAGAAATTTAAAATATGAATGTGAGAGAAAGAGAGAGAAAAGGGGTTTAACGTCCACTCGACACAAACTAGGTCATTTCGGGACTCACATATGGTTTAATTTTATTTCAATAATTCGGTTGCGCGTAGGGGTCTTTAGCAGTGGGAGGAAACCGTACAACCCGAAATAAACCCACGAGGTTGGACAGGCGACCGTACTCCTTGTCACGTACAACCGGGGATTCGAAACCACACCAGTCGACTCAATTACAGACTTTATGATACAGCGCGCGCACGCTAACCATTCATCCATCCACCCCCCCCCCCCAATGAATGTAAATTCTAATACTCATTTTACGTTAATATGTGTTCTACACTCTTTGACCTATGCGGAACATATCGACTTATTAAGGGATTGATTTATTGTATCCGCACCGCGTAGTTGACAGAGGGCCAAGTTTATTTTAGTATTCCCCCCGTTTTTTTTCGAAAAAGAACCTAAAATATATCCTATTCTTTTAAGAATAAGGGGGAGTGTACGTGTATCAGACCAGTGATTTACAATAAGCCCTTACAATTCAGATTTCATGTAAAAAGACCCTAATCCGCTGCAATTGAATCATTCAGTCGAAGTTAACCAAAGAACAGTTAACAGAAAGAGTAAGTATAGAAACTTATATTATAAAGCATACCTATCTTAAATATACGTTTTATTGAACCATGAACTGATCGCTTATCGCAACTCATCTTGGTCTTCTTCTTCTTGTTCTTAGGGTGACGCTCTTCGAACAAGCCCAAGGCTCCGTCAATTCAAGTCCAATTGACATGAACATAGGCATGCTGGTTCTCTAAACAATTCTGCATCGTTTTAAGGAATCCGATTTTTGAATTTTATCCTCCGAATAAACTTATGACGTTAAAGCTGTGCCAGCCTTCGTTAAAGACCCCACAAGCATGGTCAGTTCCTGGTTAAACATACGTTATGCAAGAGCTAAATCTGCCTATTGCAGGTCTTTAGTTAAGCCTTAAATGTTATCTAAATTATTAATTAGCCATTAATTAACTCAACTGCGATATTAACTGGATATTCAATCGCTAAATTCTCGGTTCAGAGTGGATCAATTTGACTGAAATTTTCAGCAAATTCCCCTTACATTGTCTAGTGTGTAACTATTATAGTGAGAACTGTCAGCTCTTTATCTTATCTCCCATAATGTATCTTTAATAGTACGATCGTACTTGTTGTTTTTTTTAAAATACATCGATCTTTAGCGATTATCAAGAAAGAGTAGCATAGAGATTATCATAAAGTTTATAGTTTTCATGCAACACTTCTTCTATTTGTCTTTTGATCAATAATATTATATATTCGAAATATTTCAGATTTTATCATTTACAGTCACAATGAAAAATCTAATATTGGTTGCTGCCTTGGTGGCTTTATCAGTGTTAGACTGGTTTATATTACCATGTATACGCGTTTTTGCCGGCGAAAAGGTCGGTCTTAGATCCATTTTCTCTGTGGGCATTAGTCTAATGCAAATGTAATGGGGCCATTTCAATTACGCTGCTAAAACGAGTACATGGAAAACGGGCTTCATACAAATGTAATGGGACGTCTATTATTTAACCGGCGAAAACGCGTACATCAAAAACGGGCCTTTTATAGGATTGTCAATGAAAATTTTATCATGTAATACCTGGCGGACTCGGTTAGTCCGAGGGCCGTGAGCTCTCCAACCCCAGGCTATTGTGTTTTTTTTTATTAATTATTAATTTATTTTTTTTTGAGAGAGAGAGAGAGAGAGAGAGATACCTGTACATATAATTCTAAAAACAATGAGCGTCCCAGAAAACATTGAGCCAGGCGTATACTGATTACTGTGTGGTTAAGTATACTACTACCGCGATCATCTCAGTAAGTAACAATGCGCGAATTTATTTTAAAAATATATAGTTCTACAACGAAAATAATCTATAAAAAGTAAACAACGAGAAAATAAGAAAAAAAAACGGAATTATCGTGAAACAGATTTTATGCGCTTATATAGAATGACTGAGCTATTTTAACACCCCAAAATCCAAATCCAAAATATAATTGAAATAAAAAGAAAAAACCTAAGTATTTCATTTTTAGAAATATTTATTAAAATAACAGGAATATGGACGAAACATCACAACTATTTGATTAATAAACAAGACCTGTTATAATGAAATCAATGACGCAAACGTCATCGAGGGGTAGTCCAATATGGCGGACCGTGGCGTCACTGATCTGATGACGTTATCAGTCTATATTATTAGTATGTCTATGATCTATACACGGCTTTGGTTGACACCTGCCGTTTACGTCATCGAAACATTGACGTCATCGAGATGTTGACGTCATATACCCGTGAATGTTTCAATATTAATGACCTCTCACGTCGAAACGAGAATTTTGACAGTAACAATATGACAAAATATTATTTTCGAAATTAATAAAAAATACGAAACAAATTTGTTATCAAAATTAAAAGCAATGTTTCCTGAATGAAAAAATAAAATATAGACATTCATATGTTTTTAGAAAACTGTTTAGGGTTAAAGCCTGTCTGCCTAATACCCATAATAATAGATAAATAAATATACGCAGGTCAAAACTTAAGAGTAAAAATTAAATTTTATTAATTTTCTTTCTTTAAATCCAGATACCCAAAATTACTGTGAGAGGCAACTAAAATCTATTCCAACTACAGAAATGTGATTTCTCACTTTTTAGCATGTAAAATTCATCAGTTAAAATATTAGGCAGGCCGGTTTTTGTCTGCCTGATCCATCGGTCTGCTTAATGACTATATATGTGTGTTTATGGTCCGCTTAATGCCCACGTTATATATATATATATATATATATATATATATATATATATATATGTACAGTATTTGCTCGAAGATAGGTATGAATAGTATTATACAAAATATATGTATAATAGTTTAAAAATAAATATATATTTCAAAAGTAATAAAATTATAATAAACAAAGTCTCGATTATCCAATTTTAAATCAAATTAATAAATAACCACCGTGTTTCAATCCATTAAAAATCGCGACCAGCGCGATGGCCAAGAGAGTTGATGTCATGTGCATAAATATATAATTAATTATTTATATAACATTTGAGTCCAAAAGAATGACCTGCAATTGCTAATAGGCAGATTAGGTCTCCTATTAGTCAGTTGAGGTTGTTGTTTTTTTTGTTTGTTTATTTTTCGGATTTTGAAATTAGTTTTATTATCAAGGTTCCATTTTCGAAGTCACAATTGAACGAATTTGGTACATGGATCCTTACAATTGACCAGTACTTTCTGTAAAATTCAACATTACGATCGTTATTACCTGGTGGTTTGTTGCATGTTTGAATGATTTGTAGTCCTTCGGATGAGACGAAAAACCGAGGTCCCGTGTAAACATTGGAATGCACGTAAAAGATCCCTTGGCAGTTGGAATTCGATACAAAAGTAGGCGATAGTGCCGCTGCCCGGACAAAATTTCCCTCATAGCACACTGTATGGCGTATGCCCGTCTTCATTAGCCCAGTATAGGGGGAGAGGGGGAGAGGGGAGAGAGAGAGAGAGGTGAAGTTAACGTTCACTCAACAAAAACCAGGTTATGCTAGGACTAACACATGGTTCAACTTTATTTTAATAATTCGCTTGCCCATATGAGGCTGAAGCAATGAGGAGTGAACCGGGGGACCTGGAATAAATTCAGCAGGTTGACCAGGCAACTGTTATAGTACTCTGTTACTTGATATAAAATCACTTCCATTTATTTTCTTGTTTACAGAATTAATCAATTCTTTTTTTTTTAAAAAAGGATACTTCAATTTATTTTCTTTGAAACAAAGGTAATTCAATTCATATTCTTGTAAATAAAAGATAAACCAATTTATTTGCTTCATAAAAGTGAGATAAGAGAGAGAATATGGGATCTAACGTCCACTCGACACAAACTAAGTCATTTCGGGACTAAGCTATGGTTTTACTTTATTTCCATAATTCGCTTGCGCGTAGGGGTCTTTAGCAGTGGGAGGAAACCGGGGGACCCGGAGAAAACCCACGAGGTTGGACATGCGACCCTACTCCTTGTCACGTACAACTCGGGAATCGAAACTCTTTAAGACTTCATCCTGAAGTCAAGCTTTATTTACAAACGCTTGTCAACTTGCCGTGTGTATTGATAGTGCTATATTGTACAGACAGTGAGATATTGTATAGATAATGTATATCCTATGTGTAGTGCCTGTGACGTCACCAACCAATCAACCGGATTAAGGTCGTAATTGAAAAATTGAAAAGCGTTTTGGCGTGTCGGATACTTTAACGTTAACAGCGGACTTAATTTTAATCAGATTGGTGTGAACTTGCCGTAAAGTTGATATAGTAACCATGGGCTATACGTGCATGAAATTTAGATTTCTGATCTTACGTGGTCTTTAATGGTATGTTTTCCTCAGTTCAAATGTTAATCCGACGAAATTTAATATCTAATCAGATATCCATACCAAAATCTATAAAAGAAATAACCGGTAAACCTGAGTGTAACATAATATAACTATTATACACCGAACAAAGTTATCCTATACCTCGATCCATTCTTTGTGTGGTTAACGTCGAGGACATGAATACGAATGGTGATTTGACAATGACAAACGATGGCTTTAATACGACATATAGCCATGTCCTTCAAAATATTCTTATTTTACTGTGAAGTTAAAATATCAAAAGACGTAAAGGATATAGGACAAATATCAGTCAATACAAAACATTTCAAATAATATGGATAGTAGGCCTACAAGGTGTATATTAGGTTATGGTTCGCTGAAAGAACAATGGCCTAAAGGTTATATGAATATTAGATTTAATAATGAAATGAAATGGGGTTTAACGTTCTTCTGTTCGGCTCTACAGTTTAATAGTAATCATTGACAATGGAATAGACAGACTAGGATTTGGATTAACTAAAATTATTGATGGTACTTTTTTTTAAAATTCCGGCAAATATAACCTATACATATATATTGGGATTTTATTAGAAGATTAACTCATTTTTTTTTTTTACAGAAGTATCTCATAATGTACGACAATTACCGAGACTTGTTACATACTGTCTCAAGAAATTGCATTTAATAGATACATTGTGATGATTGCCCCGTGGTATTATCTGGGTAGCCTACCAACAATCGGCTCATTCAAATGATTCACACAAACCAAGGATATGAATTCGTTTTAATTAATTCCAATTAACCTTTCTGGATGTCACCTACACTGAAATTAAAAAGAAAACAACCAACAAGATAAAACAGATGTTTATTTTTAAGAAGCGGATACCTTAGAGGTGGATTTATTAACTTTATTAAAAACTTCGTAAAATCGTCCCCAGATATTATTATTTGAAACTGATTATTATTCCTACACAATATGTATCGTTATGTGCGAGTTCTGTTTGTAGCGTATTTGATTACACTGGCGTGGGTTTTATATCTGAACAGTTTGCCCCAAACCATTCATATTTACCATAACAACGATGGATTAAATATTATCGGAATTGATAATAAAGCTCCTAGGATTAAGGCTATAAATCCGGAAAAAGAGTCAAACGTGGACAATTTTGAAAATTCCTTAGATGAAGTTATATTACAAAAGCAATCACAAGTTTCTAAAAGTGAAAAAGTGAGAATAAACAACACAGACAAAATCGAAAGTAACGGACTTGATAATGAAATGGTGGCAATGATGCACCCTGGGACACCAGAAAGTGAAAGAACAAACTCTAATTATTCTTCTCATAAGGCATATGATGACGTTTCATTCAATGCAACTTTGTTAGAGTTATATCATAAAAGTACAATGAAATATCGACAAAGTGGAATTTGCTCGGGACTTTTAATGAATAATTCGCGATCCCTCGCACAGGCCAGAAAATTTTCTGCAAGTTTTGATCGTGATTTTTATCTGGATTTAAAAGTGTTTCCAACTATAACAAAGAATTGTGACCAATATAAATCGAAACGGGGCTTTATCGAAAAGCCTTCTTCAAAAGAGGAAATGGAATTTCCGCTGGCTTTTTCAATTTTGACCTACGATAATATCGAGCAGCTTGAACGAATGGTTCGTTTATTGTACACGCGACAAAATGTCTACTGCATACACGTGGACGACAAATCAAGTGAAGATTTTAAAAATGCCGTAAGGTCGATCACAAAATGTTTTTCAAATGTGTTCGTGGCGTCAAAATTAGAATCGATAGTATATGCCTCAATTAAAAGACTGCAAGCGGATGTAAACTGCATGACGGATCTGTTACAACGAAAAGAAAAATGGCGTTACTTGCTGAATTTCGCGGCTTCCGAGATGCCGTTGAAATCTAACATTGAGATGGTCCAAACACTGAAATTATTTCATGGTGCTAATGATATCCACGAAGTTTTCGCAAAACGAGTGAAACATCGATATCACTATAAATACATCATTGTAAATAACCACATACAGAGAGGACGAGAATTTCTTGCCCCGCCGCCATTTAATCTGACAATCGTAAAAGGACAAGCGTATAATATATTCAGTCGAGAATTCGTGGAGTTTTCTATGAACAATAAAATAGCCAGACGATTTTTAAAATGGTGTGGAGATACCTACAGTCCTGATGAACATTACTGGGCCAGTCTCAATGATCTGTATCATAACCCCTTCCTAAATACTCCTGGAGGATATAAAGGTAAGTTAGTTCCTTGCGGACCAGATTGCGCTCGTCAAGCATCGCCCCAACGGTCCTGATTAAATATATGACTTTAGCCTTTGGAATGGCTTTATGAATGGTCCCTGGCAGCACCACTGGACACTGTATCCCAAATGGCGGGCGGGCGGGGAGGGCAGAATGGTTAGCGCAAAATACAACATAGCTATATGTAATTTTAATTTTAAGACAGATTGTCCTAAAACAAGAACTGAGAATATAATAGACATGTTCACAATACCCCCCCCCCCTGCAATAACCATCAAACAAAGCACTAATAAGATTTTTAATTATGCACTTAATTGAAATACTTTTGGAAAATGAACAGCGCAACAAGCAAATGGACTACAATAGACTTTTACAACATATACACAAGGTTTAAAGTCACATTTCAAATGGTTTGTGAGGCATCTAACATTCAGAGACCTAAACAACGAAATGTGCACTATTCTAAAATTTATAATTGATATAGAATCTTCTCCTGATTTTAAAAAACAAATATAAAATGAAACTTGTACATAAAAAGTGCAACCATGGAATAATATACAAGCAGGATTACAGGTTATTAAAAAATACATGAAACATAAATATTAGAAAAAATGACAATATATACTCTTCAAATAAAGAAACGCACAGCCCATTTTTTATCAATTTTTTTATTTGAACGTTGTTTCCATAAATCTTACTTGTTTTTAATGTCATTATGTAAGGATAAAAGAAATTCATTATTGGTTTTAAATGTAGGGTCACTAATTGCTGCCGAAATTTGTTTTCGCTTGATTGCACCAAGACACGTGAGTTTAACACCTTCGCAAGCCAAATCTGAGGGCTTTAAAATCCCGGAGTTTTCGGTTTCAAAATCAGTTGCACATGTAAACACTCAATGGGCCAAGTGGTGCCACATCTGAACGAAGACCAACGCAACAATGCTATCGGTCGGTTACAAGCAGGTGAATACCAGACAGATATAGCCAGACTCCTGAACGTGTCCCAGAATACCATTTCTCGCCTTTGGGATGGGTACCGACAGCTAAGTTCAACACGTGAACACCCAAGCTCAGGCCAAACAAGAGTGACCCCACCTGCCCTCGATCGTCACATCCGGTTACGTTATTTGCGGAAACGGTTCACAACCGCGACCTCTACTGTAGCAGCAATTCCTGGACGGCGTAGGATCTCTGACCACACTGTCCATAGACCCCTACGTGAAACCATATTACGAGCTGTTGTTTTGAAATACGACGACACCGTCAAATCCGACTTCAGTGGATTCAGACAGACAGGGTATGGCCACACTGCACCAACGCTGGAGAACAGTTTGGTTCAGCGACGAGTCGCAGTTCCTGTTGCAACTAGGCGATGGGAAAAATTACTCACATGCACACGCTGTGGTGAATTCCCATCTTCATTAGCTCAGTTGAAGCAGAAAAGTAGGACGTTAAACCCCATCTCAGTTAATTTCAAAGCAAAGTCACTAAATCTTTAACTTAATATTTTAAATTATATTCAAAATTAAAAACACGAAATAAGATTCAATATTTGTCATTACAAATAGCTACTATCCACAACAAAATGATCGAATGATCACTTTGACCTGTAGAGCATCTGCTAGATGTTTTGAAGTAATCAAGGACCACAACTCTGGCAGTAATTATCTGAAATCGTTGATAATCAACAGACTTCTCCGTCTCATGACCTTAAACACTGTCTTAGCTTTATACAAACTTCAGTATTCTGTTTGATCAAATTTTTATTGAACCGGTACAATTTCACAAACATTTAGGTATTGTATTAAGTAATGACTTAAATGGACCAAGCATATATATATATATTCTTATAGAAAGAGAATCTGAGCAATAGAATGTACTGAGAAAATTAGAATATAAATTAAATAGGGAATACCTAGAAAGGATTTATATTAGCTTTATACGACCAATTTTAGAATATTCTTCAGAAGTCTGGAACATTTGTGGAAAATTAAATTCTGATAGACTCGAAAAAGTCCAAATAGAGGCAGCAAGAATAGTAACCGGACTTCCATCCTATTGTAGTACTAGTAATTTATACAAGGAAACAGGTTGGAAACTATTGGAACAGAGAAAAAAAAAATACAAACGATTATTGTTTTATTACAAAATTAAGAATAAGCTTGCTCCTAATTTTCTAACAGAAATACTTCCGCCAACTGTATCAGACAGAACACTTTATCAATTTAGGAATAGGGACAATTTTAGCCTTGAAATTAATAAACTATCAGTTCGTTCATCAAGATTCTTACTTTCCATCTACATCAAAATTATGGAACAACATAGATGTTAATCTAAAAGAAATAACAGTAATATAAGCATTTAAACGAAAATTTAAACAGTTTGGTTTTAGTTCTGGTCGCCCCTAAGCATTATTTAAAAGACACAGGGGCAATTCATTATTACCAAATGTAGTACACTCAAATCATATTTGTATAATGCAAATCTGATTCCAGATCCAAAATGTTTATGCGACTTCAACAACGAAACCACACTTCATTTCTGTTTTCTTACGAACTTTACGAGAGAGCGCAGAGAAATATGCATGTTGATCTCCATAGACTAAATATAGATATGACTTGTTTAAAATCAAATCTATTACTATATCATGATCAGTCTATGCCATCATACCCATTGAAGTCCTTGATTTTTAGAATATTTCATAAATTCTTAAAAGAATCTGAAACATTTTGAAATTAACAAGCTTTGTTGTTTTAACCACTGATATCTTGTAAATTGCATTCGTGTGCTTAGCCTGATTTTTTGCTTTAGCTGGCTTGATGTGTATATATACGTATGGGTGATTTAAGTGGATAAAGTACAATGACTTCTTTATGTGTGTGTATATACATGTATTCAAATTGAAATTTTTTTTCTGACTAATAATACTGGAGCATTCATCGATAATATGTGTCAGGTCAGGAACACCTCGTTTACTATTATTAGAAGGATATATAAATTATATATACACTAGTGTTGGACACTATATACACTATATAAGTACTAAGGGAGGTGTCTCATATAAATATATCTTATCGTAATATGCTTTATGTTTAATAACTTTACGTAAAGGAGAAGACTTTATGAGTTGGAAAGTTTACGTCAATGAATAATAAATATATTTAAACCAAACTTGCCTGTGGACGTTAAGCGTTGAATTTATAAAGGATTTCATTCACACATAGTGAAAGATCCACTGAGCTACCGCGGATCCCTTTGTCACATTTATTTTTAAAGGTAATAAAACTAAGAACAATAAAGCCTGATCTTAGGGGGGGGGGGGGTTAAAGTTACACACTTTTTTAAAGTGCAAATTAAATATTTGATTAGTAGAAAGTTATTAAATATTAGAGCACCAAGTTTCTCTTTCAATACCAAGTGTGAAAAATGAATGCCAGGGATGGACATTGAGGGAAGCCAACAACCGAAATACGTGTTGATTTTGTAGATAAGTAAATTTAATGTTCAAAAGCTATGACTGAACGTATGTTTGCGCTGGTGGGACGAAAAACGTAGGGGGGGGGGGGATGACCTAGTGTCTAGAGTGCCGTGTCGACCTCTAGCTGGCCGGTCAACTCTGGATTGCGGCTGTGGTTTCGATCCCTGGTGTGAGCGTATGTGGCTTGGAGACAGGGGTGCCTTCTCAACCTCGTGGGTTTACTCCGGGTACTCCGGTTCCCTTCATAAAAATGAAAAATAAGACTTGTCTGCGATATCACCTTCGGTGGAAGCGGACGTTAAACACTAAGAAAACCGTAAAAGAGTAGGCCGTAGTGGCTGGGCAAACATTACCCCATCCAGACTTTATGGTGTATGCCCACCCGTACCGAAATGAAGTGTACACTTCCTCCGAAGTGTTCATTTCCGACACACTTCTATAGACACTTCAAACGAAGTGTTAAAAAAACTCCACCGAAATGTTCATTTCAAGCACACTTCCAAAAGATGGCCTGTTTTCACAACATTTCATCGTCACTTCTGAAAGATGGTCTTTTTTCACAGCATGTCATTAACACTTCTGGGAGATAGTCTTTATACAACCACATGCCTTTCACACTTCTGGGAGACAGTGAAAATAGATGATCATTTCATCGTCACTTCTGAAAGACTATTAAAAAAACGATCATTTCATCGTCACTTCTGTGAGATAGATCATATAGATGATCATTTCATCGTCACTTCTGAAAGATAGTCTATATACAACTGCATGTTATTAACACTTCTGGGAGATAGTGAAAATAGATGATCATTTCATCGTCACTTCTGAAAGACTATTAAAAAAACGATCATTTCATTCACACTTTCAAAAATTGATGAAATACAGTAAATGATGAAATAAAATGCCGCGCAGCTTATTATATATCCCCCTTTCTGTGTCGGGGAAATGTAATCCTGTATTCATTATTTACACATAATTATTAATCAAATTGGTGGTTATTAACTGTTTCGCTTCGTCTAAAGTCCGGTGGTACGGAACTCGTATTATTTGACGGGGATATGGCCGGGTATTTAAATTAAAAATTTGGGTCTTAATAAAAAATTCCAGATGTCATATTACGTATCACTGAAAAAGCACGTTCTTTGCTCTTTTCAAATATGTAAATTATTTTCTGCCGCATTTATATTTATTTACTTTGAAAAACAATCAATGTTGGATGGTCTAAAATCTATTACCATGTTTACGGAGAGGTACTTTGTGTGTTGTTGTCCACCAACATGGCGGCGTCCTGTATCTAGGTCATGTATAGGATACCGGTACGCTCTAATAGGCATAGACTATAATCAAAATGGCCGACGAGAATTGAATGTTTGTATAGTTGAATTTCATTAAGACCTAATGTGGCTTTGAACACACGGAATGCAAGCATGCCTGCCTTATTTGACATTATATTATTTCAAATTATACTGCCACCATGGGTCGTAGGCGTAATATAGCGATTAGCGACGATTCCCGAA